AAGAAAGAAAGAAAGAAAGAAAGAAAGAAAGAAAGAAAGAAAGAAAGGAAGGAAGAAAGAAAGGAAGAAAGAAAAAGGAAGGAAAGAAGGAAGGAAGGAAGGAAGGAAGGAAAAAAGGAAGAAAGGAAGGAAGGAAGAAAGAAAGAAGGAAAATTAAGGACTTCTCCATTTTCAAAGAAGAGACAAATGCAAGACACACTTGCAGGATTTCTGTATACTTACATGATAATGGGACCAGGAAACAAAAACAAAAACAAAAAAAAATGCAAATACAATGGAAAGAGGACTAGCCCTGGAGTCGCGGCATGTAAATTCAAATCCTGTCTCATGACTACTGCCTCTATGACACTGGAGAAATCACTTAATCTTCTTGCACCCAAGTTTCTTTATCCGTGAAATGAATGTCTAGACTAGAGACTAAATGGCCTCTGAAATCTCCTCCAGTTTTAGATCTTCACTCTTTTACAGTTAAGTGGTATATCAGATAGAGTTTTGCAAATGGAGTTAGGAAGTCTTGAGTTTGAATCCTTCCTAAAACTTTTACTAGCTGTGAAAGAAACCCAGACAAATCACTTAAGTTCTTTCAGTCTCAGTTTCCCCAGCTGTAGAATATGGATGATAATAACACTAACAAGATGGTGAGGATCAAATGAGATAATATATGTCAAGTGCTTTGCAAAACCTAAATGCCATATATACTTAATCTATTATTACAAAAATATAATTTTCTCCCCAAGTGGTTTGCTGGTTGACCTTTCTTTCTTTACACTATCTCCAGCAGTGCCTTATTTAAATGAATATGTTATCTGAGAAGAATAAAAACTACATGCTATGTACATAGCTCTTGTGAATTTGCAAAAGAAGGCAACAGAGGTCTCTAATATAGGGTGATGCTGGGAAGGGAAAAAATAATGGCTGTTTCCTTGGGTTGCCAGAAAAATATGAAAAAGGCACTTGACACTTTGATTATGAAGGAGGGAGCTTGTTCAAGTGGAAAAGGGCTTTGTTAAAAATGGGGAAAGTGAAGATCTAAGTAAGTCCAGTGATTTAGGGGAATGGAAAATGAGCTCATATTTATGGTATTATCTATAAATTTTATAACCTCTATTGTTAAAAGAAGACATGCATATTTAACTTTGATTCTCATTTTTTTTCCCACCATACTATAAAAGCTACTTAGAAAGCAGTTACAGTTGCTTTATAATGCTATGTCAACACATACCTCTTTGTTCTTTGGAAATTTTTGAAATTACAACTGGAATGTTATGTTCTGCTCCTCCCTGGAAAATAATTAAAAATAATTTAAGTGATTGTTTAAAGGTTAAAAATACATTTATAGCTAAGAAAATTAGCAATTAGTTCACAAAATCCATTTACCGTGTTTTCAATAAGCAAGTGGGGAATGAAACAACAAAAATTGTCCTCCATATTTCATGAATAGACATTAATAAAATTACTTTTATATAATATCAGATAGAATCAAAATAGCATGCTAAATGGAGACTGTGCATATTTTGATACAGCAATATAAATTATTTTTCCTATAGTTGCCTGTCATTTCCTCTTAATAAATTAATTGCTTAAGAAGGTACATTAACTAATTTAAACTATAAGATTACTGTATTCATTTTTGAATGAATTAACATTGATTGTTTTTTAAAAAGTTTCACGGTTCATCTGAATTTCATGACTAATTGCTTTAACATTTCAATATATGTATATACACTGTAAAATCATATGAAAATAAAATAAATGTTTTATGATCAAAATAGCAAAAGAGAGATGTTTAACAAATTAAAAGCAAAAAAAAATATCTGAAAGCTAATTTTTAAAAATTAAATTCTCTTACTGTACTTCTACTGGTCAGTTATAATTAGGATGTTGAAAACAAAAGCTGATCGAAACAGATCATATTACATAAGGGTAAAAATCAGGGTTATAAAAAACAGTTGAAACATTTAACAGAGGAAGGTTGAAATTAATCATTTACAAAATGGGATTTTTGCTATCTTCCAGAATTTGAGAGGATGCTAAATACTGTTTTCCTCCAAAATAAAAACACTCTAAAAACAAATGTTTCTTCTTTAATAGAAGCAATAGGACAAACATCTGGCAATGTGTTCACATCTCACTTTATTAAGCTTTATGCATGAAACTCCCTCTCATAAGCAGGAAAGAATTCCTGAAGGGCTCAGTTTCTTTTAATAAACCCCTTAAGAATTACGTATGGAATGAATTGGAAAAATTTGCCATAAGACCTTCTCTTTGCAGAAATTCCTTCCTCAGGGTACACAGGTGCTTCACAATTCCATTAACTCAATAACTGAATTGAAATTTAGAGCATTACAAGGAAAATTTATGCAATGCTGCCTAAGCATCCTGAAATCACCTCCCCAAAACATCAAGCATATGTTCAGAAGGAAATCTTGATGATGGGTTATTACTCCTTCCTGATACGCTTGATAATGGTATTTTCCAAAATAATCTGGAAGAGATTCATCACTAAAATTCACTTTCCACTGAATTCCAATAATTCATGACACTAAGTGCCTGACTTTACTTTGCTGTTATTTCTTACATAAATTAAGGTAGTCACCAAGTTATGGGTTGTATTCTAAGAGTCCATTTGTAATTAGAGGTTTTAAATCTTAGAACCCATTATATCTATAGAAACAATATAATAAAGTCATTGCATTCACAAGCCAGACTAGAAATACAATTTTAATGCTAAATAATACAGCAGTATAGAACTATCAGATTATTAGTCTGATACTAGGAGCTCACTAGGGTTATTAATAATACCTTATGTTGGGAGTGATGGCCAATACAGTGTCAGATAGATGAAGAGTTGAAGGAGAAGGAAAAAAAGGGGAAGATATAGAGGCAAGAGAGGAAAAATAAGAACAAGATAAGAAAGCTGAAGGGAGAATGCTTCTTCCTCTTCCTTTGAGTATAGGGATAGCACTAGACAAATTTTTAAAATATAACTAGCTCCTTATTAATGTGAAAAATATGAATTGGTCACATTTGCACCATATATTTCCAAGGGGCTGGAACCAATTACCATAACTGCTTAATTATAACTTTGAATAGTGTGAATGTGAACATATTCAACCACTTTATGAGATTAATTTTTTGTACAAATTGCTACTGAGTTATATGTTTTTCTCATTCCTACCTCTTTTTTTTTTCAGTTTCTCCCCTATTTCTTAAAGCTCCCACTCCCTATGACAATAGTGTCTTCATGTCACTCAAAGTGTCTCACTGAGAGTATCCTCCTATTCCTGCCTCACCCATCAACGTACTCCTTGTCCTAAAATCATCTGCTTTCCCTAACCCAACCAGCCCTCAATGTAAGCTGGTATAGTAGCTGGCCTTGGAATAAGAAAGCAAGGTAAGAACCCCACATTATCAGCCATTTATTACTTAGTAGCCAAGTGACCCTGGGTGACAAATTTTGCTACTCTGAACCTCAGTTCCCCCACTTCTAAGATAGAAATACTATCTACTTATCTGGGTTATTATGAGAAAAATATTTTTAAAGCACTTTATAAATGTCAGCTATTGCTATCATTCCCTCAGCACAGTTTATATACACTAGCTTCTAGGAGGAAAACTGTTAGATGCAACTAATTTATACTACTCAGTGAATGACTGATCCCACACAAAAGAGACCAACAGTTACATCAATATTAGTAGACATTCTGCTCCTATGTTTTTATCACTCTGCTACTGGACAGTAGTTTATAGGACCACAAACTGCTGTATGTGTATGTGTGTGTGTTTTCTGTTTTATAAGGTGATGTTACCAAAAATCAAAAACAAATACTGATCACTCTAGGGTCAATCTGGTAATTATCCTCTCAGTACTTGAATGGGCTGATCCTCAAACAAAAGATACAAAGATTATTCTTATATCTGCATTTGAAGCAATTCCAGCTTTTATATGGTCTACCAGAGCTTTTCCTCTACTGACATAGCATTTAGATGAAGTTTTGGAAAAGGACTTTAATGGAAATTATCTCCACTATGATATCTATTCCTGATTTTCAAAAGCTTCCTTGCATCTTCTACCTCTGATTCCATATATTTTTCTAAGAAAAATAAGTTATAAGTTTACAGGATAATAGATTTAAAGCTGGAAAGAACCTTAGAGGTCAATTATTCCGACCCTGTCATTTTACAAATTAGGAAACTGGGAGCCTGAAATGTTACATGATTTGTCAAAGGTCACACACATAGTAAGTTGTAATACTTGGATTTGAATGCAAGTTCTGCATTTCCCATGGTGGAGGAAAAGGAGGGTGGAGGGAGCAGCAGTCATTGTTTATGTGTGTATATATCATTTGTAAATTGAAAAGTACTTTTTTGTTTTACTTGTTGATTTATTTTAGGTGAATCTTATTTTTCATTGACTTCCATTATAAAACAGCATGAAATATTTTAGAACTTTGTTTTAACTTCCTCAAATTGTTGGCCTCTTCATACCCATCCCAGGTATCAGTCATGCCTACTGATATCATAAAACATGACTTTCCTCCTATTCACCTATATATGACATCAGAGATTGTCCTCTACTGACACAGCCTTTAGATGAAGTATTGGAGAAGGGCTTTAATGGAAATTATCTCCACTATAATAGATATTCTTGATTTTCAAAGGCTTCTTTGTATCTTCTACCATTCACATATGGATGGTAGAAGATACAGATAGATAGATAGATAGATAGATAGATAGATAGATAGATAGATAGA